GGAGGCGAGTTAGTCAGTTATGTCACACTGCTCTGTGTGGATGGCCAGACTGCTGCCTATTATTTGAGGAATGGGTAAAGGGACACAATGTCACCAGTCATATCACCGGTGGTGTATTTTGGTTTTGTGCTGCCCTAGGCATGACAAAATTCGGACAGCCCCTCTAATCTAAATGTGCCCCACCCTTTCATGTCAATGCTACACCTCTTCCTGTTTCAGACACACAGTTCAACTGACAGACACATGCCCTCACTAATACATACACTGACACACTCACTGTCATTTACACACACAATGTTTAGCCAACACATACTTTCACACCCATTCACTTACAGGCACACACTCTCAGATACACATACACTGACAAACAGTCACTGACAGACACACACTTTCCCTGATTTTACACACTCTTGAAAGGCACACACACACAGTTACACCCACACTCACAGACACAGACAGCCTTACTAATTTGACACACTCTGACAAACACACACATATTCATTCATAGACACACACATTGACAGCCGCACACTGACAGCGACACACTCACTGGCAAACACGCACATACACACTCACAGACACACACACATTCACTGTCAGACACACACACACACATTCATTGACAGACACATACTCACTGACAGACAGACACACACACACACACTGATGCTGACACACTCACATACATTTTCTCAAATTTTTAGTTTTATTTTTTACATTTTAATTTAAGTCCACCTTTCCTCCCTATTTTTGGTGGCCAGTTCTTGGGCCTCCATGACACAAGGCTAACAATGCATCTGCTAACATTGTCAGGACATTGTCTTGCCGACCCCTGGAAAGTGCAGCTCAAGGCAAATGCTTTGTTAGCCTCACTGTAAATACATCGCTGCATATCATGTATGGAAACAATGCATTGACGCAAAGGAAGGTTCTCAAATGTAATTATCAGTGCGTGCATATGTCTATGAGATTGTCTGTTTCAAAATGTAAAGGGGATTTAAAGCAGAACTGCTACATGGAGTTTTACCTAAGTGGATAAATAACGAAAATTTAGCTATGAGTTGTGATTTTTTTTTTTTTTGATTTTTTTTATATGTTTTGTATATATCTCCTATATAACCCTGGATATTATCCTTAAAGCATTAAGGAATCCTCAAAGGGAAACTATGTCATAAAAAAAATTACTCCTTTAAACACAAAACAAAGTAAGAAACCAAAATAAGTTCACATTGAAAAATCTCACTGGTACAATGGCATGCATGCACAAATGACAATCAGATTCCATGTATTACTTGGAGAGCTCAAGGTATGCTGTGTGATGATAACTAAATGCAAAATCTAAGCTAAATGACTGTGTAATATAAAAAGCATGCCCTTAGAAAGGAGTGCATTGAACTAAAAGGTGTGAAAAAGGGAAAGGGGAAATGGAAATGGAAAACGAGTCAAAAGATCAGTGACCTTGGCATGAAAGTAAAAAAGAGGAATAACGTTCATGGAAATTGTATATGATATGTGTGCCTTGTTAATCACTTCCCCATACACATGTGTCAATTACAGAAAAAATGAACGGGTAGGAATGGGGGAGGACTGGGGGAGTTAATAACCAGAAATAAACCAGGAGCAAAACAGAAGATTGTCAAGAATAGAGAAGAAGAAAAGAATAGGGAAAAAAAAGATAAAATAATAGAGTGGAAGAGAAGGAAAGCATAAGTAGTGCGTCTAAGTCCATGTGGGGGCGAAGGGGAAGGGTCTGGGAGAAAATTCCTGGAAGCCATTTTATAGATATAATAATATGACGCTGGCGTCTTCTCACTGTGAAAATCACAGTGAGAAGCGCGGAAGCGCCTCTAGCGGCTGTCAATGAGACAGCCACTAGAGGCTGGATTAACCCTAAAGTAAACATAGCAGTTTATCTGAAACTGCTATGTTTACAGCAGGCTGGGATAACCCTAGAGGGACCTGGCACCCAGACCACTTCATTAAGCTGAAGTGGTCTGGGTGCCTATAGTGGTCCTTTAAGACATGTAGCCCCTCTGGTGTCCAAGCAGGAGTATAGAATATTCTGGGCTCACTTGGTTTCCATGACCTGCCACCTCCATGCAGCCTCCTAGTCAATCTTTGTTACAAGCTCTGCCCTATGCATCTGACAATACAGAAAGTTTACTGAGATAAGGAGAATTGAAACTATGAGGATTATGTTACAAGCTCTGCCCTATGCATCTGACAATACAGAAAGTTTACTGAGATAAGGAGAATTGAAACTATGAGGATTATGCATAAACATTGTTGCATTCACTTTCACTTTTTTCAATTTCACACAGTATATATAAAACTGTTCTATAATGCTGCAAAATAATCATTGTACCATTTTTTATTCCTCTTTAAGATTTTCTCTTTTTTTTTTCTGACAACTTAGAAAAAAATGGTGCATTCTTTATTTTTTTTTTATAAATATCAACAAAACCAAAAAAAACAAACAAACAAAGGACAACACTGTCAGAAAGGGCACTAAATGGAAAAATATGATATTGGTGGAAACAGAAAAAGTAAAAGATTTGTGGGTTGAAAACAGCCACATAACTTTTTATAAATCACTCCCAGTGTTTCTATTTCTCCTCTACATTTGTAAATTATTGCTTTGTGTGAACTGGATTATGATGTTATTTGCTAAACCTTTAACATAAATTTAAACAAAAACAGAGCTTCTCATGAATATAAAGGTTAACACAAGTTATAGGTCATTTTCATTGTAGTAATTTGAGAAGAACAAGAGGTTGATGAGGACCTTGCTGACGAGGTGGGATTTGTTTTCCTAACACTATAGTGTCCCTCAATGCAAATGTTAAAAAAACTCCACTTTAAACACTTTCCTGATTCCAGCATTGAGAACCTTCAGCGCTTGCTCGGTCTCCTTCTACTAGCATTGAATCATTGCTTTCCTATGGGGATCTAGAAGACGTGTCCAGTGAGAGGATGTCAAGCGTTGTTTCACGGAGGCCAGGAAGCGCCTTTTAGTGACTGTGTAGGAACAAAGACAGTAACCGGTAGACCTGAGCGGCCGAGGAACGGTGGACGTCTGAATTAGTATATAGTACCTAACCCTAAATCTAAATACTATGTATAATTCTAAAAAGTACAATACCTAACCTTAATTATTACTCAACCTAAAAACCATAAATGCTATCCCTGGGATAATCAGAATACTCTCCTTTATTAGTAACATACATTACAATGAGGGCTAGTTACCCCCTGTAATGTGGGTTTATTAATATGTGAGAGGTGCTGTACACCAGGTATACACTCTGACACTGGCTGTCCCTGGGATAATCAGAATACTCTCCTTTATTAGTAACATACATTACAATGAGGGCTAGTTACCCCCTGTAATGTGGGTTTATTAATATGTGAGAGGTGCTGTACACCAGGTATACACTCTGACACTGGCTGTCCCTGGGATAATCAGAATACTCTCCTTTATTAGTAACATACATTACAATGAGGGCTAGTTACCCCCTGTAATGTGGGTTTATTAATATGTGAGAGGTGCTGTACACCAGGTATACACTCTGACACTGGCTGGCCCTGGGATAATCAGAATACTCTCCTTAATTAGTAACTTACATTACAATGAGGGCTAGTTACCCCCTGTAATGTGGGTTTATTAATATGTGAGAGGTGCTGTACACCAGGTATACACTCTGACACTGGCTGTCCCTGGGATAATCAGAATACTCTCCTTTATTAGTAACATACATTACAATGAGGGCTAGTTACCCCCTGTAATGTGGGTTTATTAATATGTGAGAGGTGCTGTACACCAGGTATACACTCTGACACTGGCTGTCCCTGGGATAATCAGAATACTCTCCTTTATTAGTAACATACATTACAATGAGGGCTAGTTACCCCCTGTAATGTGGGTTTATTAATATGTGAGAGGTGCTGTACACCAGGTATACACTCTGACACTGGCTGTCCCTGGGATAATCAGAATACTCTCCTTTATTAGTAACATACATTACAATGAGGGCTAGTTACCCCCTGTAATGTGGGTTTATTAATATGTGAGAGGTGCTGTACACCAGGTATACACTCTGACACTGGCTGTCCCTGGGATAATCAGAATACTCTCCTTTATTAGTAACATACATTACAATGAGGGCTAGTTACCCCCTGTAATGTGGGTTTATTAATATGTGAGAGGTGCTGTACACCAGGTATACACTCTGACACTGGCTGTCCCTGGGATAATCAGAATACTCTCCTTTATTAGTAACATACATTACAATGAGGGCTAGTTACCCCCTGTAATGTGGGTTTATTAATATGTGAGAGGTGCTGTACACCAGGTATACACTCTGACACTGGCTGGCCCTGGGATAATCAGAATACTCTCCTTTATTAGTAACATACATTACAATGAGGGCTAGTTACCCCCTGTAATGTGGGTTTATTAATATGTGAGAGGTGCTATACACCAGGTATACACTCTGACACCGGCTGGCCCTGGGATAATCAGAATACTCTCCTTTATTAGTAACATACATTACAATGAGGGCTAGTTACCCCCTGTAATGTGGGTTTATTAATATGTGAGAGGTGCTGTACACCAGGTATACACTCTGACACTGGCTGTCCCTGGGATAATCAGAATACTCTCCTTTATTAGTAACATACATTACAATGAGGGCTAGTTACCCCCTGTAATGTGGGTTTATTAATATGTGAGAGGTGCTGTACACCAGGTATACACTCTGACACTGGCTGTCCCTGGGATAATCAGAATACTCTCCTTTATTAGTAACATACATTACAATGAGGGCTAGTTACCCCCTGTAATGTGGGTTTATTAATATGTGAGAGGTGCTGTACACCAGGTATACACTCTGACACTGGCTGGACCTGCCTGTGATGACGTCACGCAGTCTCCCAGCTGACCCCCGAGCATGCCGCGCTCTGTATATAAACCGCTCTCTCGGCCCCGCCCTCCTCCGTGTGTACCGCCCCTGGTCACGTGACATGGCGTTCGCTCCCCCTCGCTCGGCATTCGTCTTCCGCCGGCGGTCTGGGACTCACTCCATCCGCTCCCACAGACCCTCTCCGCGCAGAGTGCATCGGGACTGGTGCCTGGACACGCCCACCGGGGAGGAATTGTCTCCTGACACTGAGCTCCGGGTAAGGGCAGCGTTTACTAGCAGTGTATAATATCCAGTGTATAATACCCAGTGTATAATACCCAGTGCAGGATGGCATGCTGCCAGTCTATAATATCCAGTGCAGGATGGCTTGCTACCAGTGTATAATATCCAGTGTATAATATCCAGTGTATAATATCCAGTGTAGGATGGCATGCAACCAGTGTATAATATCCAGTGCAGGATGGCATGCAACCAGTGTATAATATCCAGTGCAGGATGGCATGCAACCAGTGTATAATATCCAGTGCAGGATGGCATGCTGCCAGTGTAGGGTAGCCAGTGTAGGGTGACATGCTGCCAGTGTAGGGTGACATGCTGCCAGTGTATGATGGCCAGTGTAGGATGGCATGCTACCAGTGTATAATATCCAGTGTAGGATGGCATGCTGCCAGTGTATAATATCCAGTGCAGGATGGCATGCTGCCAGTGTATAATATCCAGTGCAGGATGGCATGCTGCCAGTGTAGGGTAGCCAGTGTAGGGTGACATGCTGCCAGTGTAGGGTGACATGCTGCCAGTGTATGATGGCCAGTGTAGGATGGCATGCTACCAGTGTATAATATCCAGTGTAGGATGGCATGCTGCCAGTGTATAATATCCAGTGCAGGATGGCATGCTGCCAGTGTATAATATCCAGTGCAGGATGGCATGCTGCCAGTGTAGGGTAGCCAGTGTAGGGTGACATGCTGCCAGTGTAGGGTGACATGCTGCCAGTGTATGATGGCCAGTGTAGGATGGCATGCTACCAGTGTATAATATCCAGTGTAGGATGGCATGCTACCAGTGTATAATATCCAGTGTATAATATTCAGTGTAGGGTGGCATGCTACCAGTGTAGTGCCCAGTGTAGTGTGGCATGCTACCAGTGTATAGGATGGCATGCTATGAATCTCTAGTGCCCGATGCAAGATGGTGTATTACCAGCCTATAGTGCCCACAACCGCCTGTGATATTAAGGTGCTGGGCAGACTGGCATGGCAATGACTTTATCTCCAAGACCTACAACTGCCTGTGCTGTAACTTTGCTGGGTAGACTGCCATGTAAATTATGCCTCTCTAGATTTCCCACAACTGACAGTGCTGTAACAGCCATAAGTAGACTGTCATGTGTTTACCACCCATTTTAATGCCTACAGCTGCCTGTGTTGTTGGTACCCTGGGCAGACTGGCATGTAAGTGCTACTTGTCTCTAATGCCCCCAGCTGTCAGATCTGGTACTGCCTTGGACAGACTGGCATGTGTATACCACATACTTGTAATGCCTACAGCTGTTTTGCTGATTTTTACTGGTCTGGCATGTGCATGTTGCCACCTGTTTATAATGCCTACAATTATCTGCCTTTGACACTGAGTAGATTGGCATGATGCCACCCATCTGTAATACCCACATCTTGCTTATGCTACTGCTGGCTTACCGGTCATAACATCCACAACTGACTGTATATATAGTTTTGCTCTGTGTATCCCTAGGACCATCCTGTGCTGAGCATCCTGCCAGGGGCAGCTTATTGGCTGAGCATCATAGGAGATTAATCCAAAAAAAGCTGACCAGTCATACATTAGCAGCTGGCAAAATCTCAATTACTGTGGAGGTTAAATCAGTTCAGACACATGAAGTACCCAGTTATAAGTCTACTGCTTGGTTACTGGGGATCTCACCCTGGCACATTGCTTCACTAACCCATCCCTTGCCAGAGGGAATGCAGAGCTGTGAGTGGTGCAAAGCAGACTTGCCCGAGTTTTACAGTGATGGGAACTGTAAGTGGCTTAATATTTAATTGAATATGTGCAGTGCTCTTAATTACAGAATTAGATTTTATTTAGAAAACAAACTTGGTTGTACTTTGACATTATGTACAAATAGTGCATTGGAATAATGTTGCTTATTCAGTATCTGCCCTGTTCCTCTGATAAGGTAGAGGGTTTTATGACCTTTTGTAATTTGTAAAGAGACAGTAACGCTTACATCTGGTCTACATTCTGTGTAGTTCATCTTATTCCCATGTGGTTGTGTGCTATTGATAACAATGCTAAAATGCAACCTATATTTTTGGGAGTTAAGATGTTTATACACAAGATACAGAGTACCGCAACCAACGACATACCGTAGACCAGAGCTTACCATTTCCTGTAGCCATTGGCTAATGAAAATTTAGCCTTAGCGAGTTAAAAATAAATACATAACCTCAGGTGTGTGCTGTAGCTTGCTGTGGAGTCACATTTAAGGCCGACTAGTAGCATAGGAATGTAAACTGCAAGTCTTGCCGTAGATAAATATTTTTCTCTTCACTTACTGTTGATTTATTTTCCCTTTACCTAACGATTCCTATTTTTGCAATTATACAATAATAAAGACCAGATATAAAAAGCAAGATATTTTTTCCTTGGTCCTAGATTAACAAAATGTTAAATCTATGATTAGGAAAAAAAAATGGTCAGAATAGGTGGTACCAGCTCCACCCAGTATGGGCACGAACCCTTTATTTGTAGAGATAGAAAACACACACAAAATGCTCGGATTGTTCCTCTTTAAAAGGGGGAGGGAACTACCAAGCAAGCTGGTAAAAATATAAATTATAAGTACACATTGATATTATGCCTGATAAATCTTAGAATCTAGAGCTCAATAGACAGGAAAAAATGGGGAATAGGAACAGTTTGCAGAGCAATGCTAAATATAATTGATACAGTACATAAAAAGTATCTCTAGATCCACTGAAAAAAATAACAACTTTATTAACCTATTTAAGAGGAAGAGATACAGTAACAACTGTGGGTCAACAGTAAAGATCTCTGATTCCTTCAATTACCTATAATATCTAATCTTGGTGCATGAACGAATCCATTGTTTAGAGTTCTATAGGTAAAGATCCCCTAAACAGTGCAATCCCTCCAGGTGTCTCTGTGAGATTAATCAGTAGGGAAATATAACACCCAATATGTACACAGTGTGGAATCTTAAGGGATATTAGACCAAATGCTAATATAGAGAAGGAATAAGCAGGGATAGAAAATGTCTAAAGAACGGAGAGAAACAACAAAATCAGGATATATAATAAAATCTAAGTCTGATATAACGAAAAAAACTATCTCCGTTCTATTACTATTTCCCTCACTTCTGCTAATAAACACCTTCGTGGGTGTTCTAAGCTAGGTCATTAAACTAAACACTGTTATCCTGTCAGATAAAATTGGACTCTAAAGAAAAAAATGAGATGATTAACGAAAAATGATGATAATCATAATCAAAATAGTGAAAAAAGGAGGAAGGATTCCCTTAGTGCATCGTGAGTGGTGCACAGTGATGTGCCGAGGTGCAGTGACTGGGAATCCCCTCAAAAATGATCCTTTTTTCGTTACTTTACGTACTGTATCAATTATATTTAGCATTGCTCTGCAAACTGTTCCTATTACCCATTTTTTCCTGTCTATTGGGCTCTAGATTCTAAGATTTATCAGGCATAATATCAATGTGTACTTATAATTTATATTTTTACCAGCTTGCTTGGTAGTTCCCTCCCCCTTTTAAAGAGGAACAATCCGAGCATACGATAATAAAGCCCTTTTGAGAAGCAATGTGTTTGTGACCAAGGCCTTTTAGACGCTTTTGCCATTCCTTAATTATCCTACAGTTGTACCCTTCCTGTTGAAGTGCACATGTACATGTTGTATAGCAGATTTATATTTATTTTAGCAATAGAGCTTTCCTTTAATACCCTATATGTATACATACAACAGTGATGTTTTAAATATAAAAAATAAACTGTACACACAAAGTGCAACTAGAGGAAATAAAGTCAAAATGCAGACTGTCTAGGATTTCAATAACTTTTTAAAATTGTAAAACAATAATTGCAAGGCTTTAAAATGTAGTTTGCTGAGATTAGAACTTTAGGTAATGCTAGTCCTAGAATCCAACACTGATAGAGGTGTGTATATATTTGTCAAAACTTTTCACCCAGGCTATTTAAAGAGACACTGGTCACATAACTGCATCTAAATTAAGTTGTTAGGGTACCTGGGCGCACTTATCTTAAGGGGTTGAACTGTTTTCAAACGGTTTGAACTCATAGTGTGCCTCGTAGGTGGCATCTGGCTTCAGGAACTCAGTTTCAGGAAGCACCTAGTGCTGCTGATAGGCTAATTGATTACAAAAAAGTTTTGTTTTTTTTTGTAAATTTCTATGGGGAGGTATTGATTGGCTTAGACTCAGCGGACGCTATAAACTAGTTGGTGGCGTCCCTGCCCGGTGGCACTCGGTGCTTTTTAAAGCTGAGATTCTGAAGCTGGATACTGTCTGGGGAACTAGCAGATTGTCACTGGAGGCTCACTGGGGTTAAACGGTTAGAGAACTGCTTAATCCCTTAAGGTAGGAGTGCTGCATCTCCAGGAAATGTGAGCACCCCTCACTTAGCAGAGGGACAAGTATGGAGATCTCACCAGGGTATTTTCAGTTCCTGGGATCTCCCAAAAACTAGGTGCACACTAAAAATCACAGCACAATCGCTCAGTTGTGGTATTTTTTAATATAAAGATCTATGTGCAGTGCTCATTAGAGCATTGCACATAGGTCATCTGCCAGTCCGGAGCCACCAACTGTGGCCCCAGCTTACAGAGAGGGTACCCTTGGGTCTCCTTGTTACCAGCAGGGATTTAACTCCCTCCACTCCCCATCTATGCTGTAATCCTGTTCAAGATAACAGCAGGGGTGTTGGCTCCTGGGGCTGAAACACCTGGAGCTGAAAAGGACCTGCCATGGTAATGCCTGGTTCAGGTAAGTGGAACTCTCCTTTACCTGCTCCCCTCTGGCCACCGGATCCATAGTGGCGATGTCGCTGTAAATGACAGTGCGTCTTTAAGGGGTTAGGGCCAGAGTAGTTGATCTGAAAGCATAGCTGACTTTATGCAGTTGGTTCTTTTTTACATTACATTTTAAATTCACTTGGAATACTGGCTTTAGTAAATAACCCTGAATGTTAGTCAAGTCTAAAAGACAGGAAATTACAGGGGTTAACTATAGAACAGGAAGGAGATAGTGTTTTGTGTCAGATAATATAAGCAGTGAATTTCTGCCAATGATAACATTTTCATTTAAAGTGGCCAATTCCCAAAGCTTACTTCAGAGTAAATGGTACCGTTATCACATTCTTTATTGGGAATGTTTTTCTGTACCACTGCTATCGCAGAAAGTGAAGTTTTGGCAATGTGTGCTTAAAGGGACATTATAGGCACCCAGACCAGTTAAACTTATTGAAGTTGTCTGGGTGCAGCATCTCATGTCTCTTAACACTGCAAAGGTAATTATTTTTTAAGAAACTACAATAATTACCTGCTAGGGATAACTCCACCTCTAGTGGCTGTCTACAAGACATCCACTAAATCGGTTTCCAGGTCGTTGGGCGACTTCTGGTCACCTAACTGATGCTGGAACCCAAAACCCTATGGGGAAATCCATAATGCGAACTCGGCAAATGTTGCACATTAGGTCTCCCCTGTCGGATGACGTCGGCAGGGGAGGAGCGGAGACAGAGCCTGAGCCAACACTGAGGGACACCGGTAATAGTCAGAAGGGGTTTTTAATTCCTTTTTAAAGCTAAAACAGAGCAGTATGTTGCCCTCTACAGTCTGTTTTAAACATGACAGGGGAAACCGATAATAGACAGTATAACTTGCTATTATACTGTGATCGGTGCTAAACAGGCAAAGCCCAGTACAAATCAATGGCATGGAGGCATGCAGGGAGATAGTCAATGTATGTTCAGATCCTGAGGTCTCCCTCAAACAAGCTGCTCACAGATAATCAAAGGCCAAGAGTGATTGTTTAGGCAGGATGATTTCACATAATTTACAGAACTGGCCAAAGATATCCAATACCGCAGGTTCCCATGTTTACTAGAAGGGGAAACCGTCCCTGCTGGTAAAATACCGCATGACTTAGCAGTGGAAGGGGTCAGATCTCCTTTATTGCTCTCCTGTTTGGAGTCAGAGCAAAAGGGAAATAATAACCGAATAGCCTGCACTAGAATTTAGAGCATCATAAGGGGTGTGTGGAGTTTTTATTTCAGCAACATACTGCTCATCTAAAACCCATGGAGCCTGTCTCCATGGTTAAACTGAGCATTAAGCCTTGTCCACCTGAATCTCCTCCTACCTTAATTCTGAAAAATTAAACCACTTTCCCTCAAATGTGTTAGAGCATATCCCCTGCTCTGTGAGCCCTGCATCTATTGTGACATTCTGGGTAAGTAAAACTGTGCTGTTCTCTTCGAATGTACGGTTTGTTTAATGGGGTAAGTCTCAGATTGCTTCTTATGTTGGGCAGGGTGACTGTATATATGGTACACACTCCCCCTGGTTTGCATCCAGATGTCAGACTCAGAAGTTTTCATTATTCCTTGGAGCTCACGGTTTTTAGGGAGCTCAGTTTATCTGCTCAATCTGTTTTCTCTCCAAGCTTGTGTTGACAGGTATTTCATCCACGCCTCCCCCCCTCCCCCCCAATAATGGCAACTAAGAGTACACACATCGGGTCACTATAAGCCCCGACTAATTCAACAGTATGAATGGTCTAATCCTGTGTGGCCATCACTTCCCATGGTAATACAGCAGTATAAAATGGCTTGCAGTCTAGGCTTTTCAAACTGTGTTAATCACTTGGCTCATCACAGCCTTTAGCATCTCCATACCAGTCGGTTTAATAAACTATTTTGCTCTTGATGGTTAAACTGTTGCCTGCCACTTGTTAAAAATGTATACCCATGATGTGTTTTTCTTGCATTTCCAACTGTTACTGCTTTAGAAGTATACCGCCACTCCATAATCTCAATATATAATTTAATCATTGATTACTTCTAGGTATGCCAACCAAGTACAATCTACACAGGGCACAAAGTCATGGTGGACTTCGGAAAATGGCCTCTGTTTGCCTTACTTTCGTCTCAAGAGCTGGCCTCCATCCAGCAGGCATGCATCTTTGGCACATCGGCTAATGAAGCCATATATACCACTTGTAGTAATGAGGTAAGAATGCAGAAATACAAGCTTGTTTTAAATGGTTTTTTTTGTTGGCATTCAAACATCTCATGTGAAGTGTACCTCTTTTTGGGAGGAATGTGTCCAATAAAGTGCTAGGATCAAGGATAAATTTGTTACAGCAGCACAAAACACTTATCCACACCTAAAAAATTCCAAAGTCTATAAAGCGGTATAAATGTAAAACCTACACCTATAAGTGGAGTGCTGAAAATGAGGGGGGATACTTACCCCACATAACTTGATAGCAAGCTTAGAATATAGTACATGTGAAAAGAAATAAGAAAGGCAATATAGTGCAGATAGTACACAAAATAGTGGTAAGGTGGAACACTTGCATTTAAAGCAGCCTCTATGTAAAAACTGGCTCTGTAATCAAGCTTGTATCTTTTTAAGGCAGCATCACACCTACAGTCCACGATACAATGAATCTCAGAGAAAACATGGAGAGAAGGGAACCAATGTGCAGTCTGTATCAAATGATGTGCAAGGTGAAAATAAGTAAAATTCTCACCTTTTTTAGAGCCCTGCATACTGGCTCTGAGGAGTAATGGCTGTGCCAGTATATGTGGGGATGGTAGGGTGTGGAACTGCACTCTATCCCTTTAAGCAGTATGTAGCTGGGTGCAACTCGGACAGTCTCCGTACCAGAGACCAAATGCTGAATAACAAATAGAAGAAAGTTCCAGGCACTCAAAGGTACAAGCAAGGCAATTTTATTGAACCCACTCCATCACAAGCTTACAGCACCTGAGGTTCCTAGTTGGTCTCCCATACAAGTACTAACCAGGCCCGAGTCTGGATGGCTTCTGCGATCTGATGAGATCAGGCACTTTCAGACTGGTATGACCGTAGGCAATGTGATGGAGTGGGTTCAATAAAATTGCCTTCCTTGTACTTTGGAGTGCCTGGACCTTTCTTCTATTTGTTATTCAGTATATGTGGGGATGGCACTTCCCCTAGGGAGATTTGGTAGGCTCCAGAGGACTACTTAAAATATTTAAATTTATTAATACAATTTATACATATAACATATAGTATAAAAATATATAAATATTAGTCCTGAATAAGCCGAAACACTTTTCACTCTTAGAGCTTAATCAGTCAGCTGTAGATCTGGTCCTGTGAATCTTTCCTTTTTAAATGGCTTGTAGTACTTCCCCTTTGTTACATGGGTGTGTAATTATCCAGTAATAGGATCTTTAAGATGTCTATAATTGTGTTTATAAAGTGCAGATGGAGTGGGTTTGCAAGAGATTGGCCGAAATTTGGCGCCATTTATAGCTATAAATATCACTGGTGGTCAGTGGTGGTTGGCGGAAGTGACGTCTCTCACGTCATTAGACTCCAACCATACAGCGTCGCGCATCATCCTGAGTCCTCCCTCCTTCTGACACTTGGGTGCCTGTCTGTATGAGAGGGGAGGAGAATCCAGTTTTCACTGAGAGGGGATGGCTAGGAGCAACGCAGAAAGTCACGTGTGATGTCCTCATTAGAACTCCCTTATCTCGGTACAGGTCAGGGAAGCCCAGAATGCGCCATGTTGGTTGTGGGAAGTGATGTAAGAGAGAAAGATAATGTATGGCGGGGGGAGAGAAAAAGGAAGGAGAAAAACACATACAAATGACATGTACAGAGAGAAATGGACATAAAATGTATAAATGTCTTTCCGGGTGGTTATCATACATGGATGTATTAAGACAGTGTGGGGGTGGACCTAAGCAACAGAGAGGGAAAGTCGCATGGCACATGAGCTCCGGCATAACCAAGCTCAAACTCCCCAAAATCACGCATTTGGCATTACCCAACCGGCATTATAACAGCCCACTGAACTGACTGATACAAGGACAACATAATGGGGTGAAAATCAAAGAAGCCCAAACAGGATAACCCGAGACAGGGCCCAAATATAGCCGAGCTGCTACGCCAAACACAGGGGGTGTCCAGGCCCAGAATGGCTGCTTATTCGGAAACCTTCCCTGACTTCTCTGACTTCTCCTCTCCTTCAATCGGATGTGGCGTCCCTACGGGCAGACATCCACGGCTTAACGGGGAGAATAGGAGCCCTGGAGACGGAATCCACTGGCCATGCTTCCCAAATAGCAGCTCTGCAACTGGAGGTACAGGACCTCAAAAGCCAGAACGAGGGATATGAGCGCCGGTTCGCGGCACTCGAAGACGCAAGGCGGGCAATAACTTAAAAATACGGGGCATCCCTGAGGACACCCCGGCAGACTAACTGCCACACATCGCGACTCCTACTGACTGCCCTGCTACCGCCACGACAAGCCAAAACAGCGCAGCTGGACGGCTTCTTCTAAACCCCAAAACCAGCTAAGGCACCCACCGCAACACCCAGAGATCTTATCATAAAAGCACTCTCAAAGAAGCAGCGGCGCTGTTACACGTCCTGGGGCTGCCGACGGACTCTCTACACCCCGCTGCGATTCAAAGCGCTACTACCTCGACACATAAATGAAACACGGACCGGGTGACCCTCTTCGTCCCATGAGGCCCAACCAGGGAACAATATGAAGCAGCAACAACCTGAAACCAGCAGGCGAGAGCCACCACTCTAAGGACACTATACTAAAGCACACATTTTTATAACTTCTCAGTTTTAAATGTTCTCCTTTTACGGTTTTGAAGTTTCCATGACGACCGACCCTACAAATAACCAATCTGACTAGATGGCCTGTGGGCCATGAATCACTACCCACCTGCCTAACAGAATTTAAACAGGGAGCACACAACCCAACCTGAAAGAGCCAGGCGTAACACCAAGCAAAGGACAACGTGACATGATATCCCACGTGTCACTTAAACGCAACACTCACTAATATACTACCCGGGACATACCAGGCATACCTGACTGGTCAGACTCTGGCTTTCCTGCACGCACATGGAGCACATTGCATATTCCACCTGAGTCTCTCCTAGCCAGGTGCACAACAGGGACAACAAGCTAATACGGGACACCGGGCACGAATCCCAAGCTATAGAGACTACTTGGTATAATGCAACCAGAACTAAAATGTGCATGATATGACAAGCCATGCAATGTTATTGAATGTTTAATGCTCTGTCGCAAAGCTGTTGTGGCAATGTGACTGTTCATAGCCCAGTTTGTCACGTGCGTGGGCTATAGGCCCAGCTGAGACAGTGGGTAGAGTGTGGAAGTGACAGGGTTAATGACACCAGACCCCTGGTTACCTGTTGCTAGTCCCAGCAACCACTCAATTAACCCCTGCAATCCCTTCTACACTAACCCCCTTAGTACACACTTTACTGCCACCACCAAGACTTTTAAACCCGGGCGTCTTAGGTTACCCCACACACAGGAGAATTATAGTATCACAGTTCTACTTTTACTGATAAAACATATATAGTTAACCCTTTTTGGTAATGTGTTTACCTGAGCTTTCCCTGGAGAGTGAAGCTCATAGAGAACAGACACAAGCTGATTAAGTAAACATTTAATCTGACAAAAAGGATTCACAGTGCTGAGTACAAAATACAGAAATAAATGACATACAGATAACAAATTGCAAAACAGTACATAAAATAAAATAAGAGAAAACACAAGAAATTCCTTACATGTAGTTACCCCATATAGAATTCTTGTGGGAGTCTTAGATGGTATAGGTCTCCTAGAAATTGCTGACAAAAGAAAAATGAATAACTGAACATTTAAGAGATCCCTCTCTACATACCTCAAAACAGAATGCACGTGTCATGGTTGATTATATATTTCCTGCCTGTTCTATGTTAAATTTTGTATATATTGTGTATTAATATTTTTGTATTTTGTTGTACCTAATGTAACAATGCAATGATTTGTGGACCCAGGACATACTTGAAAACAAGAGAAATGTCAATGCATCTTTCCTGGTAAAATATTTTATGAATAAAATATTTTATAAATAAAATACGCACAACTAAAATAACTTTTTTTAAGACCGTGTACATTCTTAAAAATGAATTAGTTTATATGAATAAATGTAATACATATAAAATGAATTCATGAAAAAATAGGAGTTATCAAGCTTAATGATATTATGTAGATGTTTTGTATTCTAGTGGATGATAAACATAAATCGAAGTTCTGCATATTAAGAAGATTGGTTTGTATTAAAGTCTATATAAAAATATCTAGATTATAAAAGTACTAATAAAAATAAATAAATGATGTTTGGTTTAAATGAAGTGGAACAATTCAAAATCTATGTTCAAACCTCAGGGTTGTAAAGTGCAGAGGATGAATATCCACTTCATATCGTTTTGTCCTAAGATTTTATTGAAATCTCCTCCACACCAATTTCTCTTGACTTTCTGGATACCCATAAATTTAAGGCCTTTGCGGTCACCATTGTGTTTTATTTTCTAATAATTAGGATACACGGTCTCTAATCTAAGCTATATCACATGTACAGAGTGACAAGTTTCGTTCTTTCATACAGAATTTTTCATCATTGGTGGAATTTTTAAATTTCGTAATGTTTCTTTTTTGTTTGTGCTCCTACATGCCAAATATGTGCCAAATCCATAGAATCCTTCCTATATTCAGGACAGTTGGCGGCTTTTTAATGATTTTTTGTTTAACAAAATCGTGTTTTTTCTTTTTTTTTAATTGGGTGCGCCTCTGAAGATTACTTTTGGTTTGTCGGGAAGGAGCTGAGACAATAAGGGATCTTGCTTTAAAATGTGCCAGTGTTTATTAAAATCTTAATGCTATATTATGGCTGTAGTTGCATATAATGGGTACATCATTCACATTTTCTTTTTCAATATTTTCTTTTTCTTGTAGTAAGGTATGTCTTGTATCTGTGAGACCTGAGTGAGATGGTTTTCTAGTATTTCTTCCTTATAGCCTTTTTCTAATTGGTTTTTAATTTGTTAGCTTGTTCTTTAAATACATTGTTATCAATACAATTTCTTTTAATATGGATGAGTTGAGATTTAGTTATACTGTTAAGCCATGGTGAGAAATAGCAACTTGAAGTGTGGATAAAACTTTAAAATGTTTTATCCACACTTTAAAATGTTTTTGTTTTCAGTTTATCTATAAAAATTTCTAAATCTAAAAATGTTGTTTTTTACGCTAAAATTGGTGGTTAAATTTATGCCCCACTCATTGTGGTTAAGTTGGTTTAAAAAATTATTTAAAGTGTCCTCTGTGCCTTTCCAAATGAAAAATAAATCTCTGTAGCAGCGATAAGTCACCAGCCATGATCTAAATGTAGATGTTCCCAATCTGCCAGAAACAGATTGGCATAGCTGTGTGTGAACCTGGTGCCCATCGCCGTTCCACACTCCTGTAGGGGAAAAAAGCCATCGTACCAAAATAATTATTGGTTAAGATTAGTTGTATGGCCTCCATTATAAAATCCATTTGCTCTGGCTTAAAAGTATGGGTCTTCCAAGAAAAATGTAATTGCCGAGAATCCCTTTTCATGGGGAATAATGGTATAAAGAGAACTTACATCAGCAGTAACCAAAAAATAATCTTCCTTCCATTCTAATTATTTTATGTGTCTTAGAATACTGCCAGTATTGTTCAAATAGCTTGGGACTTTGTGAACGATCGGTTGTAGGCATTTGTCAACATATTCCGATAACCAGCAGGATATAGAATTGATCTCGAGACTATTGGTCTCCCAGATGGGTCTTCAGGATTTTTGTGTAGCCTGATTACGGAGCCAGTTTTCACATACAGGCTCCTTTAAATGTGAGTGTTCCACTTCACCATTTTTTGATTTTGACACGTATCTGCACTATATTATCTATCTTTCTTTTCACATGTACTATATTCCAAGCTTGCTATAAAGTTACGTGGGGTCAGTGTATCCCCCTTATTCTTTCAGCGCTCCACTTATAGGTGTTGGTTTTACTTATACCACTTTATAGACATTCAGACATCCCAGATCGGACTTTTTAGAATACCACCATTTCTAACACTTCAGTAATCACACTGACATACATATTTACTAATCCAGGGACTTGTCAGCGATTCATAGGGAACTGCACATCTTAACTGGCTAATTGATGATGTGTAAATCATGTGAAATGGTATAATCATAGTATTACTGATCAAAGTGTCACATTAGGAATTCTTCCTGTTATTTGAATGCTTGTGTTTGAACTCTCTGTACATTTATCCAGTTTAAAAGACAAGCTGCTCTTCAGTCAGGCTTTATAAACCTGCCAGTGGAAAGACCAATTTAAGAATCCTATAACTACAAAATTAGACACGTGAGACAAACATGCCCTCTGGGCAGTAAGATTCTTTCTCACATAAGAATGCAAACACATTCCGCAGTTATTTCTCAAATTGTAACCGGCTTTAGTTTTATACATTGATATTAACAGGTGCATGTTTGGGACTAGATTGAAACTGCATTTTTTAAAAGAAACACTTCAATTAAAATTATTTTAAAGTCTGCGTTGAAAGCGTTTAAAAAGACCCCCTTTTTTTTTTTTTTTTAAAGAGCCTGGCTTCTCACTGTAGCTCTGCTTGGTCTCCTATGACATCATTTCTGATGTCTTCTGTAGTCAATATGTTCCTCACAGACACACATTGGGGGAACAGAAATCTACTAATACAGCTCTTAAAGAATTGAAACCGATGTAATCCTCCCTACTGTCTGGCACTCTCATAAACTGGATTGTGAACCATTCCCTGGCAGAGTTAAATATACAGAGCAGGAGATAACAAAACAAAAACAAACACTTCAAATCATACAGGAGGCTCCTGCAATGTCTAGCAAGATATTAACAGTGCATGAGATGAGGAGAAAGTCTACATTAAACAGAATGTGCAATAAAGGAAGTTTAAACATTAGATCTCTTTTGTGTTTAGGAAGGCTTTGTGCGCCACATGCTGGGATGTTTCACTAGGGCTGTATAAACTATATAATTTAACTCCTAAATGGCTGGGAATTGAGCCGTGAGACTGCAGGTGCATGCTATATACACCAAATCTGCTTTTTTTTTTTTTTTTTAAAGATAGTTGTTTTGTTACTTTAATGGGCTATTCTGATGGGAAATATTCTTCTATCTTCTAAACAGGGCCGTCTTTAGCAAGGGGCAAACAGGGCAGTTGCTCCTGAGGGGCCCAAAGCAGCTGCCCTGTGGGCCCCCTGCCTGCAGCCAGGTCTGAACAGCCCACTGGGATACTGAGAAATATCCTGGTGGGCTGCAGCAGGTGAGGTAATCAGGGGCCCCTGGCCCTTTAAGAGAGCTCCAGACCGGGCCTCGGTCTTTCTGCCTGCTGGGAGGAAGTGTTGTGAGGTCACTTCCTCCCAATTAAGAGTGCCGCTGGAGAGGAGGAGGTACAGACCAAGAAGACTCCCATCAATCTCAGCCATCCAGCTCCCACTGGACTCCAGGGAAGGCACACTTCTTTAAAGGTAAGGAGGGTGGCTAAACTGTGTAAATTGATGGGTGTGTGTCTGGCAATGCATACATCCCATCTAACATTGCACACAAATACACCCCTACAAGAATGGCCAGATGTTAGATCCCCAGCTGGCATAGCATTGTGGGAATTGTACAACAGATGAAGATCTATCTTTTCTTTGCTCTTGCGCTAGAGGGGAGGCTCAAAACAATCTTGCACCAGGGCCCTGTCTACATTAGTTCTGCCACTGTGTTGGGGTGGAGGGTGTGATTGCATGCCAGAGTGAAAGTGTGGGGGGAAGGGGAGAAGGGCAGGATCCAGGGGGCCCAAACAAATGCTTGCCCAGGGTCCAATCAATGTTAAAGACGGCCCTGCTTCTAAAGGGTGACATATTCTATATACTAGTGAAGGGGATACTTAGTGATTCTCAACGGTTTATTAAATACATGGGAATGGAAAAATACTATCCTGGATTTAATTTGCATAATAATAGAGGACTTTTGTCTGTTTTTGTAGGTATTTGCAATTGGCCTGAATTGTAGCAATTGTCTAGGAACTGGAGATAACCAAAGCACAATGATCCCCAGGAGACTGGACCCCCTATGTGGCAAGAAAATCACTGGCCTCAGCTTTGGTAGTGGGCCACATGTTCTTATATGCTGTGAAGGTATGTGACTTGTAGGTTGTAGAGCTTTGATGCTGTAAAAATTGGTTATGTACGTAACTGTTGCTAAAATGTCAAATCAAATTAGGGAGGAGGGTGACTTGGTAAGGCATTTCCAGATTCTAGTCTAAAATGGCTTAAAGGTTTACTCCAAGCAGGTGACTTCAGTGATTTGAAGTGGTAATGGTGCTTGTGACATGCTGCACATACAGAGCATAACCCCACAGCTACCAGAGGTGTAGCTCTACCTCTAGCAGAGGCATATGGTGTCGTCAGCCAGCCTGGAACTAGCATTATGGGCTGGCTAATTGACCTTTGCACAGACTGTCACTGGCTGCGAGTGGTCATCCTACTCTCCCAGCCAATGAAAGTCAACCGCCACAGCTTCTGGCTTCTGCAGGAGACTAAAACAAGTCACTGGACCACCAGGGAGCATCTGAGCCCCGCAATGACTCTGGTTAATGTGGGCAAACTTTTGCTAGGTCAGTGCACACATTCAGACTCTATTGTTTATTGACTTTATTTATTTTTGGTCTCCCTTTCCTTACCATGAAAGGGATCTAGAATTAAACCTCATTCTGGGAATCCAGTGGCTTGCTGTTGAGTTGATATTTGTCTGCTTAGCTCTCTACAGCTCTGTACTGATGCCAGGACTGGGGTGATATTAAAGAATCCATACAGGCTGTACACCTCAAATTACCACAGCTTCAGAGCACACTTGTGGCATGGCACCTCCACCATTAGCGTGGGTAGGCAGGTGCATGCAGTGGTGGCAGGAGTGCTTGCAGTGTATGGGTAGGCATCTCCTGTCACGTGGAGAGGACCCCCGCCCCTTTTATTTGGTAAGCTACTGGGATCAATAACCAATGTTGTGGCACTGTGCACATGCTATAGGTTCGCCATCGCTGATGTTAATTTCCAGGATGACTGCGACAGGCTTTGTTTGCTTATAGAAAATCTCCGCTATGCACTTTTTGGCCAGGGTTTCTAAGGTTGACATTCTTAAATAGTGCCAGTGTGTTTGATAGTAGAGGTTTCTAGACATTTTTTAAATTCTATGAAAGTCTTGTACATTTATTTTCCGGTGTGTATTTTTTTATTTTTATAATTGCTTTGTACAGATGGTGAACTTTACGCTTGGGGTCATAATGGATATAGCCAGCTTGGAAATGGCAATACAATACAGGGGGCATCTCCCATTCAAGTCTGTGTTGAACTTATGTCAAAAAGAGTAATACAAGTGTCCTGTGGCTCACATCATTCCATGGCTTTAACATCAGAAGGAGAGGTAAGATGAGTCCCTCAAGTGTGAGAATATCTCTAAACCACTACCTGCTACAAAATGACTTTCCAAAAAAAACTCTCCTAGTTTCTATTGAGAATTTTAGTTGCTAATCTGAAGTGTTAGAAGTCCAGTATACGAAAGCTAATTAAATGTTCAAAATCAGCTGTTAGAATCCTGGAAAGTCTTGTGTGGCAATCATGTCTATCTATGCAGATAGTCCATACAATAGTTTTAAGGAAACGGTTATCCATTTACATTGTCAGCAGAAAATAGTTCCTGAAAAACAGGCATTCAGCAGGGTTTTTTGTTTAAGGCAGTGGGTAAAGAAACAGTCAAACTTGCTTGTGGATATATCCCTTTATCTATTGGTATGTAGGGAAAGCGGATTTAGACTAACATTTAGTTTTCTGAAGTTTAGTTTTTTGAAGTTATGATTAAAAAGCGCATTGCATAGGGGCGGGGCCTGGCCACCATGCTGGCCGGTCGCACCGCACAACAGCTCCGGCAACTTTTGAGTTATTAACCCACAATAAGGTACTTCTGGACTTACCGGACGACCTACCGCGGTGGGCTGGCACATGAGGAGACACTGGACCCAGGGAGAGGCTTGCAGTTAATGTTTTAGTCCCTCGGAGTGATATGCATCGTTCCTTTCGGATGAGGCCTACTCAGGCGGTGAGTGAGGCGGACAGCCGCCGCCCTCAATCCCACATGATATCCAGCCGGACTCCCTCAGCTGGGCGGTCCGGGCACAGTTTCCCACCCATCGCCCCCCTGGGCCAGTGGGGGTGATCCTGGCCTACACCCTGTACGCCCTGCTTCTATCTTCTAAACAGGGCTGTCTGCAGACCAGACCACGAGCCGCATCTAAAATGGCAGCACAGTGACTCTGATGACTCACAATGCCATCTCCAGCTCTCGAAGGGATCCAATCCCCTTGAAACCCACGCAGGCCCTGCATACATGTATGGAGCAGCTCAAAACACGCTGACACACAACCTCCACTTCTGCCTGGCTAAACGGCTACCAAAGTCCTAAGTGTACACACAGCGACATGGCGGGAGCAGTTACACGCTGACACACGAAGCTTAGACCCAGCTACTCAGACTCAGACACTTGTCCAGAAGATTTGCACAGAGAGCACTTCATCGCCCTGTCCCACGGATCAGGCCCGCAACACCTCCACAACAGCACAGCGACCCTCTGCGGACTGTGGGGATATTTATGGGATGATAATATTATACAGTTGAGAATTGCCCACTATTTCAATTCTTAGATCTTAGAGATCGTTATCATGTAAGTGAAATGTATTCCATACAAATAAAATAACAATTTGTTATAAAAATAGATATAATTTATTGTGACTAAATAATATTAGGCAGCATGCATGATAATGATCAGTGAATATTTAGTATAACATAAGTATGTAATACAATGGCAATATTAAAACAATCCAAAGGCTAACTGCATCAACTGTCAAGACTTAACAAGATTTATGAGGGTACTTCAGACACAGAAAGCTAAACTTCCAGCGAAAAGCAATAAAACCTTGGCTAACAGTTAAATCAACTGAGTAATCCTTTCAATGCTAGCTAGATCCTCCTAGGCATAGAATATCCTATTCTCATGTAATTTTCAATTAAAATAACATTCAAACCAGCTCATTAATCATTTCCTGGAACCATCCAATAAGAATAATCTACCAGATTTTTACAAAAGCCGAATTTAACTCTACCTAAGATATACGATCTTATTTTAGAGCAAATCAATACACATGGATAAAAACAGCGGTATGCCAACACGTGGTAAGATACCAGTACTATGTAATTATCTGACTCCACCTGCAAAATGGAGTGTTATAACTATATTAGTTAACTAAGATTTCTCAATTATTGAAATCTGACCATGATTTATCCAGTCTTATATCATGCTATTAGTAAATTTTTAATTAATTTAAATTAATTAAATAAAACCAGCATAATTACCAGTTATGTAGATGTTCTCATCAGATGAGTAGGTAGTCCCAGGAACTTGAATGCGAGTATGGTTGTATGGAGGTGTGTAAGTAATAGAGAAAAGTGATGTTGGTTAGAAAGTAACAGTAAAATTCTAAGTGTCAAGGAGTTTCTTGAGTTGTCTTGGATCTCTCTCCATGTCTGAATCTGAATGCCTAAACTAACCTACTCTTCCCTTTGTCCTAACTTTTAAATTGCCAGACTCTCTGTACGTCATTAGTTAAGGCCAATAGGGAACTGTAGGTGTGGTCAACCTGCAGATCGCAATTTCGATATTTGATCCATAGAGGGCAGTCTCGCCTCACTAAACCTTCTTATCCAGGAAAGAGTTAACTTTTCCTGATGACGATTTTGACGTCATTTGGCTTATCTAAAATGACTACCATAACTTAAATTTGCTGTCAGTTCAAAGTGTTTGCCTTAGTCTTTGTGGCAACTACTTTGATCGTAATTTCTAAAATTGACAGTTCTAAACTCAATTTCACCCCTTACTTGCAATGGGACCTTGTAAAATTTAGAGTAAAATTAATTACTTAGTCTTCTCTGTCACTAGTGTCTGTGTTTAAAATAATTTCTATTCCATTAACATTTAAACAGAGCATTCCATCCCCCTGCTTCATTGCTTATCATTTTGGTTGTTTACATAATGCATTCCTTAGCTCAGGCTAGTGGCTAGTTACAGAAAGAAAATAAATTTTGTCTGTCTTGTCTGAAATCCAAAATGGAGTCCGCTCTGTTCTGAGTGACTCTGACAATATACACTTTTAATTTCTATCTTGGCACAAAATGTCTGCCAATATAAATATCCTGACAGGACAGACCGCAGGGAGGACACCAACGGCTAGAGGATAGCTGCAGTGGTAAACTCCTTATCACGGAGGGACATACCAGCCTTACACATCCACACTACGGACCCCAGGCAGCGAGGACTTAAGAAAACAGCTCTGGCCTCACTGAGGGTGCAGATCCTGCCTAACATCCTTCCATGGAGTCTGAGTATTTAACTGCCTGCTGCTGGGTGTCAGGGTGTTCCTAAATCATAAGCGAGTGCTCTCAGGACTCTAAGCATATGCTAGCTCTTTAATAATGGACTGCAATGCCAAGTTTGAAATGTGGACACGATCCCTAAATTAGCCAATCTAACGCCTTAACATGATTCCCCTGACAGGGTTAATCTGTTAACCATAAGCATTAAGCTTAACTCAGACCATAGTTCAACCTAGGCTCACCTTCTGGTAGTCTTTGCAGCAGGTGATAGTACAGTCCTATCTGTTAAGCTCCTGGCAATAGCAATGGTAAAAGAAAACAGCCAGCTTCAGCAAACATTGACCCATGAGTAACTAGCCACTTTAAACATATGCAAGTCCCATCAAGTGCCCTCACCATGTTTATATGCATCATAGGCTATACTCACCGGTTATCAGCTTCTGGGGCAAAACAAGCCTGTCTGAGACAATAGTGTGTACTTGCATTCTATGACCAAACCTAGTAACATCTCAAGCTAAAATGTTCTATGCAGCATGTATGACCTGTGGATTCCTTTTCTTTTCTCACTACGCCTGTTTACTCTTGAATTCCTAATCCAAAAAAAGCAACGCATCTTGAATCTGTCACCAAAATGTCACCGATAATCTACTGTAATTTCCTTTGGCATTACTGACCTATGTAATTAACAATGCACCTTCAAAAATAAAGGGGGGGAAAAAGCGCATTGCATGCTATTACAACTCTAAAATATTCCTTAATGTGTTCTTGCATCCCTTAAAGGGTCACTATCTAGTCACCAAAACACTGATTAGCTTAATGAAGTGGTTTTTGTGGTCCATTCTCGGACCGGAGTTAAATCCCTTTGTTTATGCAGCCATGGTGTCACCCTTCCTGTAAAGAGTCCTCTTTGTCTGTCACAGCCAGGGGAGGTGTGGCTAGGGCTGCATAAACAGAAACAAATGGATTTAACTCCTAAATGGCAGAGAATTGACCAGCAAGACTTTAGAGCAGGCCTGCAGCCCCCCCTTCCCCCCCACCCAGATTGTTTTGAATGACAGCTCCCATGATTCCCTGGCTATTTTTTCATTCAAAGAATCATGGGTGTTGTAATTCAAAACATCTGTGGGACTGCAGGTTGTGTAGGCCTGCTTTAGAGGCTTGATCTATACACCAAATTTTTTTTATACGAATATTGTTGTGGTGACTAAAGTGTTCCTTTAAAGGAGCACTATAGTGCCAGGAAAACAGTGCCTCCAGTGCCCCCACCCTCAGGGTCCCCCTCCCGCCGGGCTCTAGGGAGTGGAAGGGGTTAAACTTACCTCTTTCTCCAGCGCTGGGCGAGGGAGCCGCGCGCACATTCATCCAGTCCATAGGAAAGCATTCACAATGTTATGCTATATTTAAAGAAAAAAGGGTTAAATATGCTATGTTTATAGAAAAAAAGTGTTAAACCTAGCTAGAGCTGGCACCCAGACCACTTAATTAAGTTGAAGTGGTCTGGGTGCCTATAGTGGTCCTTTAACTGTACTGGAGCATGAATTGAAATTAGGGGTTGGGCTTACCTTGTATTGGAGGAGGAGTAGGGTAGGAAACATTCTTTGTGGAGGACCAGTGAGGGAGTAGACAGGAAAATTAATTGAGGTATTTCAATGCAATACAAAACTAAACGTCCCTGTATGTGTGCATGCTTATGAGGTATGGTTTGTAATAAGATTTCAAACAAACCCAAACCTCTGTTTTTGTTAACATTTCAAATATAGTTTTTATAATCCTCTTGTTTTTTTTTTTTTTTCCTAGGTATTTGCGTGGGGCTACAATAACTGTGGACAGGTTGGTTGTGGGACCACTACAAACCAGCCAACACCACGCAAAGTAACAAGCCATTTGCACAATAAGATGGTGACCGGTATCACAGCTGGACTGACCTGCTCAGTGGCTATGACAGACAATGGACAAGTAAGTCCTAGTAGATCATTAAAGTCACACTGCAAAAACCTACAAAATGCACATGTGCAGGATTTGTATTCATGGGACCAGTTCTTGTTTATAATAAAGCTGGCAAATTAGCTGCTATTCTGCAAATTGGATGGCCATCATTTTCCAAAGTTGGTCTTAACTTTTACACTCCAAAAGAGTGTGTATGAAAATCTGTATAGTGTAAAACAGACTTAAAATATTAAACATGAAAAAGGCTCTTAAAAAAAAGCACGAGTAGAGCTAAAATTTAACCAGTTATCACATCGAACTTCATACCTAATCTTTTATCGTGCAGAGGTATATCATTTTTTTTTTTTGTCTCAAGGTCTAGTGTGGAAAGCAAGCAGCCATATAACCTTGTGCTGAATTCCACCCTGTAACACAAGTAGTGACATAATAAAATCGACATGAATTATGACAATAGTAGCATTCTTTGCTGGTCCCAATGCTACTGTTAAGACCAATGTCAGGTGACCAGATTGGGTGTCTTAATACTCTTGTCTTTGGGTTGTTGTGACTTTTCAAAGTCTTGCATCCAAAGTTAAAAATTGTAATCTTTCTATATATATTTAGGTGTATGGCTGGGGTTTTAATGGCAGTGGTCAACTAGGATTGGGAAGCAATGGAAACCAGCTCACACCTTGCAAAGTGGTGTTTGTGCAGAATGTTTGCATCATTCAGGTAAGATTGTTACACTTGCTGGCCATGTATACATGTTGTAATTGAACTGGGTTAACACTATAGGGTCAGGAACACAAGCATGTATTCCTGATCCTTTAGTGTTAAAAACACAGTTTAGCACCCCTGGCTCCCCCTTTTCCCCTAAATATAATAAAATATTACTTTTATTCCAGTCTGTTGCTGCTGGCTCTCTCCCCTGATCTGCCTGCTTTTTTTCTCTGAAAACATTGATTACTGCAAATAGGTCTAGAAATGAGGTCACATATTTAGACTAGAAAAAAAATGTAGTCTAAGGAAAAGGAAAGGTTTTTTTGTATGAATAATAAAGATGTGCAATTCTCTGCCTGAAGTGGTTTTAGGAGTCTGTACAGATGTTTAAACAGCATCTGGATGAGTAATTGCAAAAACATAATATTCAAGGATATATTTTTTAAATTCTAGAGTAAAAGCTTCTTGATCCTAGGTTTAAGGAATACTATAGGGTCAGGAACACAAACCTGTATTCCTGACCCTATAGTGTTAAATACAATTTGCCTCCTCCCCCTTGCCCCACTAAATATAGTAAAAATCTCACCTTTATTCCAGTCTGGTGGTGCTGGATCTGCCCCTGATCTGCTTGTTTGACTGACATCGGAAGTGTTGATCAAAGCCAATCACAATGCTTTCCCATATGAAAGCATTGGATTGTCTGAGACTTTCAAGGAGGCAGCACAGGGGCAGAGCCAGCACAAGCCAAACACAGCTCTGGCCAATCAGAATCTCATAGATGCTTGAAATCAATGCATCTCTGAGGAAAGTTCAGTATCTCCATGCAGAGGGTGGAGACACTGAATGTCAGTGTTGCACACTGTGCAGCACTGCCCCAGGAAACACCTCTAGTAGCCATGTGTGGCCAGTTGAGGTATCCCTAGACTGTAATGTAAACACTTTCTTTTCTCTGAAAAGAGTGTTTACTGCAAAAAGCCTGAAGGTAATGATTCTACTCACCAGAACAAATACAATAAGCTGTAGTTGTTCTGGTGACTATACTGTCCATTCAATGTTCAGGCTTTCTCTGAGTATTGTAAAGTTATTGGTATGCTTTGTGTTGGGAATAGATATACGTTTTTTTTCCTCTCCAATTTTGTAGGTGGTTTTTGGTCATGCCCACACTCTGGGATTAACAGATCAAGGCATGCTATATGCATGGGGTGCCAACACTCATGGACAGTTGGGAATTGGAAATAAAATCAATCAACTTTCTCCCATTAAGGTCACTACAAATGAAAGGTAATGGTTTGCTATATATTGTAGTAACACCGCAAAAGTAATAGCTGTCAGAGGTTTTCTGCTGTAAAGGTACAGGCCCTGCAAGTCTATCTGGAGAACATCAGGCTTTTATTGAAATATCTAGATTCAGACATGAGGAATAATCACAAAGTTAAATAGGTTAAATCTTGCCTGCAGGTTGTTCTCGACAGGCTTCCGCACACAGCATGGCTACATAATGCAACGTCTTTCCATCCAGTCCAAACTCAATGGATATGTATGAGATCATGGGTACTTGGACTATAAATCATTTAGTAAATGTCTGTCTTGCATGTGCAATAATTTGATAGCAAAGCTTGTATGTCATGTTTTTCCAGTGGCTTGGTATCCCATGTTTTTTACATGGTGTTTACAGTTTTATTCTGTTCTGCAGGATGGTGGAGATTGCAGCCTGTCATTCTTCGAACACCTCTGCTGCGAAATCCCAGAGTGGGCAGGTTCACATGTGGGGTCTATGTCGGGGTCAGGCTGTCCTTGTTCCGACACTCACCCACTTCACCTGTACAGACGATGTATTTGCCTGTTTTTCTAACCCACCTGTTATGTGGCGGATGCTCTCTGTAGGTGAGACTCTTTACTAACGAACTGTAACTAAATTCTCTCTTCGTGCAATAGATGGAGAATACTGTAATTTTACAATACCTTCCACGGTCTGGTCACCTTTCAGGAGCATGACCATGCAAGTCCTAGACCTAAAGAGTTTTTTTTCTACTTTTCTAGAGTGGGTAGAAATATTAAAGGGACACTATAGTCACCTGAACAACTTTAGCTTAATGAAGCAGTGTTGGTGTATAGAACATGCCCCTGCAGCCTCACTGCTCAATCCTCTGCCATTTAGGAGTTAAATCCCTTTGTTTATGAACCCCAATCACACCTCCCTGCGTGTGACTTGCACAGCCTTCCATAAACACTTCCTGTAAAGAGAGCCCTATTTAGGCTTTCTTTATTGCAAGTTCTGTTTAAGATTTTCTTATCCCCTGCTATGTTAATAGCTTGCTAGACCCTGCAAGAGCCTCCTGTATGTGATTAAAGTTCAATTTAGAGATTGAGATACAATTATTTAAGGTAAATTACATCTGTTTGAAAGTGAAACCAGTTTTTTTTTCATGCAGGCTCTGTCAATCATAGCCAGGGGAGGTGTGGCTAGGGCTGCATAAACAGAAACAAAGTGATTTAACTCCTAAATGACAGTGAATTGAGCAGTGAAATTACAGGGGAATGATCTATACACTAAAACTGCTTTATTTAGCTAAAGTAATTTAGGTGACTATAGTGTTCCTTTAATATATATATATTTTTTTATAAGTCTTAAGGCTTTTTGTCCAACAAATCAAATGTGTAGGTGATTTACAAAATGCAGGATCATGTCAGATTATACAAAAATGTCTGAGCCATGGATATTAAACGATGATATATTAGGAATTCCATATTTATATTTTTTGTTCTTTCCTAGAGCAAGAAGACTCCTTAACAGTTGCACAATCCCTAAAAAGAGAATTTGATAGAGAAGAAACATCTGATTTGAGGTTCAGAGTTGAAGGGAAAGACATTCATGTTCATAAAGCAGTATTGAAAATAAGGTATATGGCTTTTAGTCATATTTGTAAGATTGTGATACTTTTGGAAGCTCTGGATTGGTTCTGAAACCAGGTTCACAAATCTACACAGAGGGGTGTACAGAGCTCCAATCCCCCAACTGTATCTACGCTCTTCCTTCTTGCATCTAGAAGCCGCACTGGTCACTGATCATAACTCTCCCCCCAGTAACTAGACAACGTAGTTCTGAGTACAACTGATCTTATTGAGCCAAATTCAGCCTTTTATGCACACTCCCAGCACAGGGTCTCCATTCAACACCTATAGCACCCGCCCTGGTGTCTGGAAAATAATTGAGTTGCTATCCGCTAAATCAATTATCTCCCGGATACAGAATGAAAAACTCACCAAAACCTAGTTAAAACACTTAGGAACCCCACATATCCGACATCCCTGGATAGCTCTTGCCCGAGCTCCCAAGTTGTCCAAATAGCGCCTGGATCCATAAGGAATTGTCCAGTTGCCACCGGGGTAGTCTTGACTGACCGCACACGAGGACCAAGCGCAAAATTGTTTCAGTGTGAAAGTGGCTTTTGCCGGTCAAATATTGGAAGGTCCTATGGTCCAACAAAGGGGCTTCTCCTGGTTCTCTGGGAGCAATTATTCTCTTTAGTCCGTAATAGCTATTAGTATGACTGGTTTTAAACATACAGGCAACTTGAGCGTTTAACTAGAACTTAAAATGTTTGAATATTTGAACAATATTTACATAAACACTGCACTTTGGATTATCCAAGTTGTGGTCACCATAATACATGCATAACGTGACTTCTTAATATTATACATGATCTGTATTCTATATTTCTAATCCAGGTGTGAACATTTCCGTACAATGTTTTCATCCCACTGGAATGAAAACGCAAAGGAAGTAATAGAAATTGACCAGTTTTCATATCCTGTGTATCGAGCCTTTCTGGAGTATTTGTATACAGATGTTGTGGACCTACCACCAGAAGATGCTATAGGTATCTTTGTTAATGTAGTGTTTTTATCTTGTGGGAAAAAACTGCCTACATGGACTTTCTTCACAAATCCCACTGTTGGAGGGAAATCTAATTAAAACAGGGTATCAAATTAATTAAATGGGACAAAGAGCACCATAACCAATAGAACACTTACTGTTGTGGATATGGTACAAGGAATCTACCATACTGTTTGAGTGGACAACTATGCAAAGAACACGCTCTCCTCTCTACCCACCAGCAGCATGCTACTGATGCTATCCAAGAACTGGAATAGCCTTGAGAAGCACATACTGCACAGCCAGATATGCAATATGATCCTGCCAGACCAATAGGGGGTTTCATTGCTCCCTAACCCTTCTGACAGTCACCACTCCCTACCTTAAAGTACTTTGTGGAGCACTAGATTTATGGCTTTATTGATGTATTCATTTTTGTTCTCACTTCTACATCTTTAGGACTTCTGGATCTTGCTACATCTTACTGTGAAAATAGGCTAAAGAAGTTATGTCAACATCTGATCAAGAGAGGGATAACTGTTGAAAATGCATTCCTTTTACTTTCTGCTGCGGTTCGGTATGAAGCAGAGGTAATCTTTCTGCATATTTTGGGTATATTGTAATAAGGATTAACTTTAAAGTCTTCCCTGTTAATCTCAAACCTATTCTTGATATTAATGTTTTTAGGAGCAGTTTGAAATAAACCAGGTTCGTCTTGTTACTTGGGGACTATTCCAGCTCGGCTGCATTAACCATACAGAATTGACCTTATCAATGTCACTTTTCTAACCTGGAATCAATGTTCACTACATTAGACAAAATGGATATCAATGTGGATGTGTTCTATGTTAATGCAGCAGAGATGGAGGCTGTTTGTGTCCTAAGAGCCATAGTTTATATCAAAACTGCTCCTACGATGGCTTGATAAAGAACCAGGAACCACACCAAGGCAACATAACCACTACAGCTCGTGGTAGTAGCTATGCTTTGAGGGCTCATTAAGTGTCTCTAGTTGGTTGGAGTTTAGGGGCTGTTACTACCGGTGCAGAGAGCTTGCTTGAATCAGACTCCTGGTCTGCTATATAAAGGGAAACTCCACAGGTCAAATAAAACACATGGTTTAGTAGATGCACCCCAATGCCTTCTTTCTCAGCCCGATCAGACTCCTTACTGAGGTCTGCAAGGTAGGTACTTTGAGTAATTGCTGCCTCTTGAGTTTAGCTCCACTGAGCTAAACAACCAGGATGTAACTGGACTTGTCTGACAGCTAGGGGAGGGGTTAACAAGGTTAAGTACTAAAAGTGCCAATTTCTATTGAATTCTGCACAAATTGTAAAATGAAGAAAGAGGACACGCATTCAATAAGCTGAAATGCTTTAAAGAAAGCCTAGTGTTGGGAATACAGCTTTGTATATGTTTCCCTAACAGTATAGTGTCCCCATGGACCCCCCTGTTCACCTCCAACGACAGGGAACCTAATGAGAGAGTGCCGCTCACAAATTAGAACTTCCCCATAGGATGTCCTCATGCAGTGTCAATCTATGTGAAACAGCAGGAAGTGGCTGTCAGACAGTGTTTTATATTGCAGGGTTGGCGGGACTGGGATACTGCACCCAGACCACTTCAATGAGGTGATGTATTACCATAATCTGTAGATGCAGCAGAGTAAAACTAAATGCATGCATCTCTGCTGGTTTCCCAGAAACTCTGAAGTGACACTGACATGGTAACCAGTGTCAATTATGCAATTTCTAACCTTGTCTAACCCGAATTCCATGTAACAGTCTAACCAAAACAAACCTCAATGTTTGAATAGACCTCCAGGTTGGATGACAGTCCAGCATTGGCTTAGTAAACACTGATTGTGGTATTACAGAGGGCAGATTGCCTGACAGGCACCAATTGCTGTGATAGTCTTTCTGATTGAGGGGCAGGCTGTATATAATAGAGGTTGACAGTGGTCTCTTGTGGCATGGTGCCAAAGCCATCAGATGCCTTGAATAGTGTAGGGTGTTAATTTTCCAGACTCCACTTGTGTGGGCTTGAGCAGAGCGGAGTCCTACCATGTACTGCTAGACCTGTGACTTGGGAACTAGTTACACAACCCCTGTTCACCCCATCCCATAGATCATTGACTAATACACCGGGTACAGTGCATGTGAAAGGAAAATAAACGTGCTTGGCATGAGAAACTAAATTACAGGGTGCTGGTTATCACCTAGGAGTGTGGTATATCTGCATGTATCTGGTTTTATTGCTTTTTAAAAAATTATCTCCTCCCTCTACACACATACACCAGGTAAGTACTCATACCTGTACAGCGGCACAGTAGACTGCCTTAGTCTTCAATATGCTGGCAGACATTAGTCATAATCAGAAGTGTTCAGTATGTTAATGTGACCATGGACTTTTGTCTTCATTTGCAGGATCTGGAAGAGTTTTGCTTCAAGTTCTGTGTCAATCACTTGACTGGTGTCACACAGACCCCAGCATTCTGGCAAATTGATGGGATGCTGCTTAAGGACTTCATTATAAAAGCTGGTCGATGTGGAGGCTTCAAGAACTGACTCTTTTGACTTTGGACTTTTTGGGGTGAATTCTGAGGAGCCACTAAAGTGTTCTAATTATATTAACTGTGAGGGATTCTTGCACTGTTCAAACACCCTCCTGTGACATGGATAGAACATACTAATGAAGAAATAACTTTTAAATGGTGAAGACTATATATAACCTGCCATCATGTAGCACCTATAGCTTCTAGCTGGTCTGGTACACAATGCATTAGTCTTTCACTGAGCACATGGTGAATAAAAATATAAACAATCTAAATTGAGAAACAAGCTTTTATATAACGTCCTCCTTATCGTCTGTTTAGTCTGATCTAGAAAATGTATCTTTTTTTCAATTTCTGACCTGAGGCGTGTTACAGTTTTAAACAAAACTGTTTAGTTCCTTCAGTACTTAAACAGGCACATACAACAGCTATCAAATCAATGGATACGTGGAGATGGTGTACAAGCAGTTATTGTGATACTAAATTGTCTTCTCTAGCATGAATAGGATCTGCAGAATAATCAATCCAACTGACATTGATATGCACTATTGCAGGGATTTGTTTTTCGTACCTATGTTAGGTATAGGTGCCTTTATAAAAATGTATTATCTAATTTCTTTTATGGGTAAATTCCTTTTTAATGTCTGTCTAAAGTGGCTTTCTATGTAATTTTTTGTTTTTTGAGTTTGTAGCTCTTGTTGGTCTGTTGGCTGTCTGTTATTAAATGACTGCATGAAAATCGGTAGAATGGATGTAAGAAGATACTGGAGGTTCTTTGTCTTTTTTCCGCCATGAACCAATGTGTATATATTTGAGACGCCTCTTTTGCCCAAATAGAACACTGCCAACATTACTGTTTTAGAAATCACTTTGGATAAAATCCTTCTGTGAAGATGCAAGTTTTTAAAATACCGTTCTTGCATTTATTTTGGCAATTATATAGTTTTCCAAAATATGCATAAGTGGGCACTTGCATGTATGAATGTATTTTGCATAAAATGTACCACACTTTATTACATTTCTTAAAGTTGTTTAAGGGTTCTAAAATAAAACCATTTTATTGCGTCTGTGCTACCTTAAATGTCAACTTTTCTACCTTCTAAAGTCAAATTGTATAAGATTAAATTTAGTGCCATTTGTCATTAACTGGACCTATTGTCTTCCTAATTTTTTTTTTTTTTTTTAATAATGCAAGGTTATGGGTAACTTTGTATAAGGTGAGTGTGACCTCTATAGCTTGTGCGCCTATGAGCTGGAAATTTAATGCAATCCATCTAGAACCCTAGTTATAAAGGAAACGTGTGGGGAAAGGACTTACAATGGAGATTGATGACATTTGTGTGTCAAGAGTAAAGGTTTACCTGTTAATACCGGAGAGGCCCAGTAGTGTAGGTCCTGGATTCTGTCAGAGCCAATAGAGGGTACATGAAGAGTGTGTATCTTGCTAATCAAGGGTTAATATCAACCCCTAACCAAAAGATCACTAGGTGGGTGAGGTAAGGTAAAGCCCCCTGTAGGGATCTTAGTCAGCTGAGAGAGGAGAGGCAAAAATCAAACAAAAGTAAGCACTTGGGAATAACAAATGAGCTAGCATGTCTTGGTGGCACATACAGACCAATGCTTTAGATTAAGTGCTCAGGTTTCTGCTTCCTTTCTCCTGCTGCTCATAGGAATGAATGGGACAGTTCTCTTAGAATCCCATTAATGGGAGGTAGGTGGTTGTGGCGAAAGTAACATCACCACTTGTACTTGGAGGGACCTGTTTGCCAGCCTCCTGCCCACAGCCTATGGGCCCTGCAGGGAAACCTGTGACAGACTACCGAACTTGACTGACTCTTAGCACTGATTTCCCTGGAACAGTCTTGGGCATAGGACCATGTGCACGGTTGGTCAAAACTGACTTCCACAAATTCCTGAACCGATCTGGGTGATTTTTGGATATCAGGGGATGTAACTTTTATGGGGTTTCATGTTTTTCTGTGCTTGGAGATAATTGGGTTAGATTAGGACAGTTCCTGATACAGAGGAGGGATTCTATTGTTTGTGTATGGGAGTGTCTCACTGTATGACTCTGGTTTTTATTGGGTTTTTTTTTTCACTTTGTGTCCCTGTGCCCACCAAGGTCCACATGGGTGTCACCCTTGTTGGGAAATTTGAATAAAAGTCCAGTGTGCCTCCATTAAAATTCTGTTCCTGCTTACCCTCAACGTAGTCAGTCTGATCTAGTGTGGGGGGAAATGGCTGCATCTATCCTGGGATTGCTATATCACTAAATTCCCCAGGAATTTTAATCACTAGCTCTAAGAGCTGTTCCTGCTACGCTCTCTGGGAGTAGGAGAGGTCTTCCCACTGCAAGTTGGGTCCAGGGTGGGTGAAGGACAGCGAGACCCCGGCGCAGCCGCATTGCTGGAAGTGGGGTCTGGAGTGCTGGAATTCGTCAGTGAGCACTAGGAGCATCAATTGGCATGAGGCACTCGGAGTGCCAGGCGGTCCGTCACAGTGGTTTCTCTGGTGATGGGGTTCTCAGCTGCAGTCCCAGGGTTTGTAAGAAGGCTGGAGCCTCTGAAATAGAGAGCTTCAGAATGTCTCCAATAACCGCCAAGGTTCTCTGCAGTAGCCATCTGTATTACATGTTGGCTTTGCGGAGTTCTGTGGTGACTGAGTGTAACGACTTTCTCTGTAATTGTTCTGGTTGATGCCTTGGAAAAAGGTAAGTTACGATGATTCAAAATCAAATGGGGTCTTTCCCCTAACCGCTGCCAAAATACGGTGTTTGTCTGGCATTGAGTGAAACCAGACTGACGTCTCGTGGAGCTGGCGGAGGTGCTTGTTTGGCTTTGATGCAAAATCAAATTCAAGATTTTTTTATTAAACTTTTTATTCTATTTCCATATAAAAATAAAAACACAATCAAGTGTCCATGTAACAGTGATGAATCATACTTTAGGTAAACATTACCTTTTTGCATTATTCATTAGTGTTTGTCATTATTGTATGGAGTTATCCATGTCATGCAATGTACAAATTATTACCATCTAGCGAGGGGCGGGGGGGGGGCAACCCCTGAAACGCGCGACGGGGACTGAGAGGAGAATATCGTTTAGTGTTAAATAATTAAGAATGATCAAGCGCAAACCAGACGCGACCATAAGTTCACCTCTCATGCCCAGTCAAATAGCTCATCTATCAAACCTTTTATAATATTTAAACCATCTGTACCAATTTTTTTTATATATTTCGAAATATTGCTGTTATTAAAGAAAAACCATAACTCCTTGGTGGTTAATTTGGGCTAAAATTTCTGTTAGACGGAATATTTGTATTCCAATATCTTGAGATACACATCTTTATTGCCATTAGTATGTTTATCATTAGGTATTTTTCATATTTATATTTCCTTAGACTCTTAATATTTATATGAAACAAATTTCGAAATGGTCAAATCTGATCTCCTTAGGTCTAATTCTTTAGAGAGGTGTAGTACAAGGTCTTTTTTTTAAATCTAACTTAAGATTGAGCAGTCCCACCATATATGTTTTAAAGTTCCCACTGCCCCATTACATCTCCAACAAAGATTTGTATTTTGAGGCTTAAATTTACATAATTTGGAAGGGACTAAGTATGATCTATTTAAAATTTTAAAGAAATTTTCTAAAATATTGATACAATCTACTGACTTTTTAAGATCGTCTGTAGACTCTGTCCATAAGTGATAAAGGATGGTACAATCTAGGTCTTCCCATTTTAAGATGGTATTTATTTTGATTTCTGGGGTAGATTTATTGATTTGGCTGATCTTAAAGGCTGCGACCCTTACAAGATCATATCCAAAGGAGACTGATCTATTATTTGGATTGATTTAAGAAAGTTGACAATTCTTAAATATGTAAATATTTCTTTATTAGACATATCATATTTCTGTTGAAGTTCATAAAAAGTATTAGGAGAAATATTGGATATCAATTGGCCAATTTTTACAATATTTTTTCTTAACCACGCGATTAAATACAAGTCTTTTATAAATCGTTTAGTCATTCCTAATGGAGCTTTAGAGAGAATTTGATTATGAGCCAAGAAAATATAAATATATATATAATTTTTTAAATTTTTTCTCGGTTCAATTGATTTAAAATTTTTTTAATATTATCGATTCTTAAATTTATAAATCTTTTGCTGTCCAGACCAAAAAAGGAAAAATCACTGTTCTTTATCTTGTATCATTATTTATCTCTAAATTTTCCATTACCCCAATCCAAGAAATGGGAAAACATTACTTCATCATTTCCCAACATTCAGTTAATCCATAATTATCTTCCCTCTCAAGTGTATCATCATTTTTCGATTGATTCTTGTTTGTTTGTTTGTTTTTTATCTGACCATACAAAGGAATAAAATAATTTGTCAAACATTTTCAGAATTTTGTTTGATTACTCTTATTGGAATTGTACGAAATAGATATTCAAGTTTTGCCATCAAATATGCCTTTGTGTTTAATCTACCCATCCATGAAAGTATTAAGTTGTCCCTTTTTTTTAATCTGATCTTTTAGATCTTTGAGTAGCTTCATATAGTTAAAATTTACACAAGTTTCCATAGAAAAAATTTATTAGGGTTCCTAAGTAATTTATTGTTTGTGAGTCCCAGTTGTATTTATATTTAAATTGAAGTGATTTCACCTGTTCTTGAGTTAAATTTCGATACATTATCTTTTTTTTTTTTTTTTGTAAATTTGTTATTTGAAGGACAACTAAAATCCTCAATGCATTTCATTACTGAGGGAATAGAAGTTTCTGGGTGAGTTAGGGTTACTATTATATCCTCTGCAAATAACGTTATTTTTTTGTTCCTTCTCACCTGTTGGTATCCCTGTAATATTTGCAGACTTTTTGATTAACATTGCAAGAGGTTCGATAAAGGTAAATCAGGGGAGCCAAAGGGCAACCCTGACGTGTTCCGTTCCTAATATCGAACCAATGTGTACTCAGTCCATTGCTGTAAATTCTTGCTTTAGGGGAAGTTATATAGTGCCATGGCTAGGTCTTTCGAAGGTTTGGGAATAGGTGTAATTATTGCACTTAACTCAGAAGAAATGTTTTTTGGTGAATTAAGTTCGCTAAACCATCTGTGTATTAAAGGAGATATTATAGGTTCAAATGCTTTAAAGAAAGCGGCTGTAAAGCCATGTGGACCTGGTGCTTTTTCCATTAGATACGTTTATTACTATCCTGATTTCTTCAATCTATATATTTAATTCAGCTAATTTATCTGGATTAATTTGAGGTAGGCTAATTTTATTAAAAAAAAGAGTAACTCCTTTTAGTGATTTTGTGATAAGTTATATAACGATGAATAGTAATTAGTGAAAGCATTCCCTATTTGTAGGGGAGAAAGGAGGGTTCTAGTTCCTTCTATAATTGTTTTTTTTGTTTTGTTTTTTTTTTATTGAATGTTTATTTTTTTTTCTGATTTGTACGTTTTTTTTGATAACTTCCCTACTTTATTGCTACTATACCATTTTTGTTTACAAGATAAAATAATTTGTTTTACTCTATTTGTAAGTAATAGATGTATCTGTTGAATTGTTTTTATTTGAATAGCTAATTCTGTAGAAAGGTTTTATTTTTTTATTTTTATTTTTTATTTTGTTCAGTCTTGGCTAACTTTTAATATGTCTGATAATTCAGCTCCATTTTTCTTTCTTCCCCTTGCTTCCAGTTGAATTAAATTACCTCTCATTATGCATTTAAATGTTGCCCATAGGGTTTCATTGGAAACATTACCATTATCATTAAATTCAAGGAATTCCTTGGCAAGAAGATCTAATCGGTCTCTATTCTCCTTATTTAGTGAAATCGTTTAATCGATTCTCCATTGATGACTAGTTTTATATGCCGACTCATTCCTAATTTTGACCTCAATTGGGGCATGATCAGACCAACTAATGGGGCCTATCTTAGAGTCTATGAAATTAACCAGATTTGAGTCCGTCAGAAAAAAAGTTATAGATTTTAGAATGAAAAGTATAATCTTTATCGCTTGGGTGTTGAACTCTCCATATATCATAGAGACCATAAAGATTGAAAGTGTCCTAAAGCCATTCGGCCCTTAATTATTTTTTTTTTTTTTTTTTACAGGAATAGTATTCCAATCTCCCCTATCAATAATATACCTTTTTTTGATTTTTATCTATCTTGTTACATAAAATATTTTCGAGAATTTATTTGGAGCATACACATTTACTAGAGTCAATATTTTATCGTTTAATTTGCATATCATGAAGTACCTAATATTAATTTCTCTATGAATAAAAGTTCAAGCTTGACTTTTATTTAACAAATAGCTATCCCTCTCTCCCCCCCTCAAGTTAGCACTCAGTGCAGTTAGATATCTAGAAAATTTCCCTTTGTCTTGGGTATTGTCTTTCCAATGGGTTTCCTGTGTGAAGTATACATATCAATATTGTCTTCTATCAGTTTCTTATACAAGCTACCCCTTTTTATCAGATTATTCAATCACTGGGCATTTCTGGAAGATATTTTAATTGACATTAATGTAATGGATATAACTTCCATACATAGTCTCATCTGGACTGCTCAGACTTCGATCTCCTGACTCATCCCTCCAACCCCACAGCGCGCCACTCCTCCCCTCAGTGTAAACCCATGTACACTTACACAAAAAACATAAAACATGCATAACTATCAAAACACAATACATCTCTCCACCTTGGATAGAAACTATCTGGCGGTTTCCCTGACCTTCGTACATACAATTTGTCAGGGGTACCCAAGTGCTGGTGGCAGTAATACTTCTAGTGTTTAACAAGATTTAGCAAATTATAGCTAGTTCCTTTCTATCGTCAATTATATATTTAACCTCATGACCATCAAATTCAAGCATTTTAGCCTGTGTGTGCAGTAGGGAATCCTCTCATTTAATGTGGTAGTTCAGTTGGCCCGATTGTCTGGAATCCTTTGGATTTTAATACTTGTGCGCCGATTGCGGTCCTCCATAGTGTCTTGTGTAGTTTGGAATACAGTATTAGTAGACTGTGGTTGTTGCAGGCTATCCTCCATACTTTCGACTACCTGGCATAAATCCAAATGTCCTCTTTCAAGGCCTGTAACCATGCGTGTGCTGCCTGCATTGCCGTCTGTGCAAAATTTATGTCTGTA